GAGAGAGAGAGAGAGAGAGAGAGAGAGAGAGAGAGAGAGAGAGTCCAGACACCTAGTGCAGACAGTGGGGTTGAGGGAATCCACCCAGGGCGGAGTTCAGACTTTGAAGTAACTGTTTTAAAAATTACAGTTATTTGTAACTGTAGGATTGGCTTGCACACACCATGTGCATAAGGAGATCAGATAACTGCTTGGAGCTTTTGGTTTTCTCTTTTCACCCTTTGGGCCCTAGGGTATTGAACTCAGGTAACCAGGTTTGGTGGCAAAGCACTTTCACCCATGGAACACTTTCACTGGTCCTGGAGCTCAGACTTCTGTGAGTCAAGTTCACTGTCCAACCCAGAGACTGCCCCATCTGTCTGCCCTGACAGGACACACAGGCTGAGCTCCTAGATGCCCTGGACAGCCAACTCTAAGCCTACCTGGTCGCAAGTAAAGAGTCACTTTTTGTGGAGATAACTGCTTCCGTTCCCCCGGTTGGTCAAACTGAGGTTCAGCAAGGCTCCTGGGTTCCATTATGTCATCGGCTGGACAACCCTTCTGCAGCAGCTGAGCCCGTGTGTCACAGCGGAGGGAGTCAGGCTCTCCTGGTCCAGTGAAGTTCTAGGAGGAGGGGTCGGGCAGAAGGCACAGTGCTGAGACAGTGGGGTCCAGCCCCATTTCCTTCTTACCTGCCCTTGAAACTTCAGTTAGCTGTCCCAGTGGGATGGGGTCATCCTCTAGGGAAAACCAGACTCCTAGACAGCCTAGGTCACCCAGACAGCTCCAAGTTTCCCTGAGAGCTCCAGGTCACCAGAAGCATAGACTATAGACTTTTCTCTATCTTTCGGGCACTGACTCCATCAGCAAAGACTTGAGGTTCTCTATCTCTAGCTTGATCAGCAGCCTCAAGCTCAAGTGCTGGCCAGAACCCTCTGGTCCTTCCTCAGCAGGACCTTTGCTGGGAGCTTCTGTCTCCCAAGGGAATGCAGGTGCTCTCTTTGAACCAATGTGACAACCCTTGCTGAGACTCATGGCAGAGCTTGGGGTCAAGTTTGATGGGGGATGTTCTTTTGTATATATGTTTCTCTTATTGGTTGATGAATAAAACACTGGTTGGCCAGTAAAGGCAAGAAGATAAGAGGGCTAGGAGACAAGGAGATTGCTGGAGAGAGAGGCGCCACAAAGGGATGCCATGTAGAGATCAGAAAGATAGGATGTTCCAGGTGTTCTCTGGTAAGATAAAGCCATGTAGAAATATATAGATTAGTAGTTATGGGTTAATAATTAAGAGAGAGCTAGCCAGTAAGAAGCCCTAGCCATCAGCTTACAGTTTTATAATTAATATTGCGTCCATGTGCTTATTTGGGGCAAAGCAGCTGTGGGCCAGGTTAGAAAGAAACTCCATCTTCACAAGTTTCTCCCAGTTCATAGGGAAACCAGTTGGTGAGGGGAGTGGAGAGCCTGGGGGACCTTCATCTTGACTACCACGTCTCTTCAAAAAACCCCTGGATTTGACATGGAAGTCATTCTTGGTCCTGAACTGGAACCTGTTGCATCCAAAGGAGGACTGGTTCACCTGCAAAGTACCAAAAAGCACCGGGCTGCCTGTTTTCCCACAGACAGTAAAGCCAGACGAACAACTCAGAAGTGCAGTAGACACCGCCTGCCGAGTGTCTCTGCTCTGTGTTTGCTTTCAGAGCCACATCTTAAGTCCTCAAGAAACAGACGATCAGCCGGAATAGAGATAAGAGAAGCAAGCGTGTAATCCATGTAGAACAAGCGGCCTGACTGTTCATTTCAGGTGAGTAAAATGGCTCAAGAGGAAGAGAGAAAAGCTAGTCCATCTAAGAATGGCTTGTCCATGCTTGCACCACAGCTCTCAGTCACAGGATAGAAGTTACAACACCAGGCCTCTGCTCTGGAGCTTTGCCTGTAGCGGACATGATCGATGGCAATAGAAGTCAAAAACCTTGTGGGATGGAGAAGATGGGGAAAGTCGCAGAGAATGCTGGGAGCCCACTTGTCATGAAAGCATAGGAGCCTTCTCTAACTCTAACTCTTGGCCAGGGGAAGGCCAGAGCACAGTTAGCACAGCTGGTCATCCCAGAGTATGAAAGTTCTCAGAACAAGACAAAATGACAACAAAAAATGTCATATGAATGATACCCAGAGCATCTTAGAGGGGCCCAATGGCCTGACATGGACCAGTTGAACATCAAATTGGAAAAATAATAGTCATAAACTATGAAGAGAATAAAGATCTGCAGATCCATCAATGGGGTGGGGGCTGAGAGAGAGAGAGAGAGAGAGAGAGAGAGAGAGAGAGAGAGAACCATTTTACAGTCACTACAGTGGTAATGGAAATTTGCCTGAGTTGCCAGTAGTCAAATTGCAAGGTCACAGACTTAGTTTAGTGGGGACAGAATGCTAGCAACCTGACAGCACCTCACAGACGAGCCTGTCACTCACTGTGGGGGACACAGGATGTGAGGAGAAACCTGGCAGGTGTCACCTTAGCAAACATCATTAGTGCAGGGACATAGGGCACACCAGTGAGGGCACCATGTGTGCCTCATGTAGGGCACCAAGAATAACTCACTGTCTGGTGACCCTAGTGTACATCAGAGGACATGCTGGGTTGGAGGCGCCAAGGGACATTCTACACTGATGGCTCTACTCATCCTAAAACGACAAAGCTGGGAATGTTCTGGATATAAGGGTAGTAAAATGGCACACCGTGTGTCCTCAGATTATGACAGTATGGAAAAATGTGAAAATTTGGCAAGATGCAAATACGGTCTGCCCATTGGGCCAATATTACATTTGCTGAGTTTGATAACAGGATCAAATATGAACATACACATATGGCATGGTTCGTGTTGACTATCAGCTTGACAGGCTCTGGACTCTCCCAACAGGCAAGGCTCCAGGCACACTGGGAGGGACTGTGTTGACTAGGTTCTTTGACATGGGAAGACCTGCCCAGTGCAGGTGGCACGGTCCCATGGGTTTGGGTCCCGGACTGAAGAGAAATGAGGAAGGGAGTCGAACATGGACATTCATCACCCTGCATCCTGTCTGTGGATGTGATGTGACTAGCTGCCCCACACCCACACCCCCGCTGCTGTGACTTCCCCACCATGACAGACTGTCATCTCTAACCGTGAGCCAAAATAACCCTTCCTTCCTTAAGTTGCTCTTATCAGGGTGTTTTTATGACAGTAACAGAAAAGTAACTACGACAGTACATTTTATAAAAAACACACTCAGTGTGTTTTTGTTTTGTTTTGTTTTTTATAAGCGAATACCTTATTCTCAAAGACCTATGAAGATAGAAGGGACAGAGGCTGTTGGTGTAGTTTCCACCAGAAAGGATCAGGCGACTGAGAAGAAAGAGTAATGTGGGTGTTTCCCTGTGGGGTCAGCAGCTTGGGGACCCCAGGAGGAGCATACGATAAAGGCTTAGACCCACAGGAGGAGCCCTCTATAAGAGGTGGCCAGCTGTACTGAGGGACTGGGGTACAGGATGAGAAGTCCCCTCCATGCCTGCCTGTGGGCCTTTACCTCCTCCTGTTCTTGATTCACACTGCAAAGCTGGACTGTCCCTCCCTACATACCTGGAGTCAGCCTGGGTTACCATGGTACATCCATCTCCCTCCTCGAAACTTCTCTACTGAGTCATTCCTGCTATGTCCTAAGGAGATTGTCCTGGTGTCCCTGGCTTCAGAGAAGTAGAGGTCCCTACCCAGGAAGAGGGGAAGGGGGCTTAAAAACTGTCAGGCGACCCACGCAGCTCTTACCAGCTTCTGGCACCATGCGCATCCAGGCCCCGACTGGACACAGTCCTGACAGTTGCTGACTTTGTACTTGGTGCACTCCTGGGACATGACTGAGGAGACAGACAGGCTGGATGAGGACCCTGCACCCACTCTGGCTGCTCTCAAGAGTGAGTGGGGAGGGGGGGTAGACGAGGCTCTGGGGAGGGTGTAGGCTAGTGTCTACAGCCTTATGTGATCTGGGAAGGGCTCTGAGTCGTCCCAGTGGGATTCAGAGCAGCACCCCTGAGGAAGTCAGACTCCGCCTCCTGTTATATGGGGATCAAAGACATCCATGCCTGAGACTGACTCCCAGAGGATGGTCCTTCCTCAGCCATCTGGGAACTTATGCCCAAGAGGACATGAGGTGGGCCTGCTGGGTGGGAATGTCATGTGTAGGGACAACATCATAGAACTCACCTGATCCCAGGTAGAGCAGTCCAGCTAGAGCGAGCAGCAGTGAGTGCCAGCCCAGCATGTCCTGTGGAGAGAAGGGCTGGGTGACTTCTGGCTGATCACCTGAAGACTTCCTTCTTGCTGGCCTCCTGTCCTGCTGCCACAGGGCATGAAAACCAGGCAGGGCCAGCACAGGTATCACTCAAAGTCCACAGGGTAACTGGCTCAGGTGGCCAGGTCCCTAGAAGAGCAGGCAGCCAGCCTCTGTGGGACTACCATAGGCATGCATGCATTCATGCATGCATGTGCACGCGCACACACACACACACACACACACACACACACGGGGGGGGGGAGGGAGGGAGGAGATGAAAAGAGAGCGAGACAGAGATAGAGACAGAGAGACGGAGAGAGATGCATGCCATACAGGCAGCCCCACTCCCCACCCCACAAGTGCAGTGGCTCACACTGTCGGGGCACAGCTGTAACACCTGTGTACTCCAAGTCCTTAACGAGCTTGGACCCCAGATCTGGTTGACCCAGATAGCAGAATTGGGCCCAGGTAGAGCCATGAACTTGGAGCACTTGTGGAACAGGGCTGAGCTGGCTCACAGAGACTCTCTCTGTCTCAAATACTCCTTGGAGCCTTGATTCTATTCTTGCCCAGGAGGAGATAGAGCTGGGGACCTTGTTGGAATCCCTGTCCCGGGCAGGGGAGAATCGGCTTCACAGAGCTCATCCATGGCTTTGACTACCCTACTGCTGGCTGCCTGTTGCCATGTTTCCAGAACCACAGCATCCTGTCCTGCTTATAATCCATGGCACTGAGGGCCTTGAACTAATAAGGGGCCCAGCTGGGGACTAGGCATGCTGAGAGGCCTGGGGTGTGACTTCCTTCCTCATGGCTGGGCACCGGCAGGACTGCCATTCTCCTAGATCTTTACTGGTATCCTCCTTCCCCTGCAAGGACCCAGAGAGGTCAGGACTCAGCCCCTGGGACCTATGATGTTCTGAGTGGTGTGGCCCCTGGGTCTGAGTTCCTAAGACATGAGGATCTGTGGCAGGCAGGCAGGAAGAGATACATGACCAGGGCCTGGGTTGTCAGAAACAAAAATCAGCATGCCTCCCCAAGCCATGACCAGCTCCTCTACAGGGCAAGGCTGAAGCCACTGAGGAAACCGAGTGAGGGTGGGGACAGGGTTGCCAGATCAGTGCTCTGAAGGTGGCTCTTAGTGCCTTGTATGGCCTCAGAGTACTGGGTATACCAACCAGCCTGTGGTCCTTGACATCACCATTGCTCCCTGAAGCCCAGAATCCAGGCTGAGGTCTATGATAGTCATGACACCCTGTAGAGTCACCCAGTTGGGGACCCTGTGGATACAGCCCTCATGTAGCCCCATTTCTGACCCTTTTAAAAGTGGCCTATGACCTCAGAAAGACTATCCTCAGGGCCCAGAATTGTTAAATGAAGCCCCACTTAAGGAAAAGCAAGACTTCCTCCCTCGCTTTCTGAGTTTAGCACACTGTAGCAAGGCAGAGAGGGGACTTGAAGCTACATGGGAGCCATCCCAGCTCTGAATATCTCTGTCTCCCGGTCCCAGGGCACCTAGCCCAAGCTGAGGCAGCTGCATTTGGTCCTGCTTCTGCATCTCATCCTAGAGTTCCTTGAACACTGCTAGGGGTGGCACACGTGTGTCCACCAACTCCCTTAACTAACCTGGGGCCTGGCACGTGTGACTGAGATCTGCATGCTGACACTGCAATCCAGTCAGCCTCAGGAAAGCCCCCTTTCTGAGGCCATGGCTGTTGTGGGTAGAGAGTGGGGAGAGTCCTTCCAGGGCACAGGTATGGTACTTCAGAGAGAGGCCATCACAGATGTCGCCCCCAAACAGCCACTATAGTCAGTATTCAAACTTGCTGGGGAAACTGGAGCTCCAAGCAGGAGCAGGATACAGGGTTGTGTCTCATACCTATGAGTGTGTTGACGGGCATGCACACAGAGATAGAGAGAGATAGAGATAGAGAGATAGAGAGAGAGAGAGAGAGAGAGAGAGAGAGAGAGAGTGTGTGTTCAACTTGGTTATAAGACCAACCCACAGACCACACTGCCCTGCCCTGACCTTGACCACAGGAAGTGGGTGGTGGCCAGTGTAGCCACCGCCTGTTCTTTGTTCCAGGTGCAAAGCTCTCAGGACAGAGAGCACTTGAGAGGAGCCATCTCCACCTGGGCCCCCTATGCCCCACAGAAGACACCAAACAATGACAATGGTGTGAGCCTAAGTCATCAGCTTGTGCAAGACCTCCTGACCCTGTCTTTATCTTCTCATCTCCTAGCCCTCCTTCTGAGGACCTTGCCACTGAAGAGCCATCAGTTGGCCCAGGTCAGGTGGCGCTTGCCCTTGGAAAGACAGGTTTGAGCGTTTGCATCTCAGTATGATCTCTTAGTGCCTAGCACAGCTGGTCCCTCTTCTCAGTCTGTGGGGAGGCCCCTAGTCACTGCAGCTGCCAGCCAGAACAAGAGTGAATAAGAGGGCCTGAGGTAGAAGCCCCACACTCCCACCCCATGGTTACTGAACAGCCCTGAGAAGGTCTCCTCTAGCTCCTGGCTTCACTGGAGCTCCTTAGGTCTTCCAGGTACCTTCACCAAGTCATGAGGTGAGACCTTACGCAGAGGCCTCCTGAGAAAGCCCTGCCCCAGTAGCTATTAGAACTCTTCATCACAGCCACCCTCTATCTCCACCCTCTGCTCAGCAAGTGCTAGCCCAACCCAGGAAGTGGTGGCTATCCGCAGGCCTTCACATTGTGAGGCCTGAGTTGTTGGCCTTCCCTGAAGATTCCCTTGGGGACTATGGCTTCACACGAAGGGGTAGATGAGGCCATGGTGTTTGCACCTGGGTTCTGTGACAGGAAAGTATCTACCTCATACATGTCCCCATGAGAAATGAAATGCCCATGGCAAAGGAGGAAACAAGAAACAAAAGGCAATTTGGGCAGGGTGTGGTGACCTATAACTGTAATCCCAGCGCTTGAGAGGTGAAGGGGAGACGACCAGGAGTTCAAAGTCATCCTCAGCTACATAGTGAGTTCAAGGACAACTGGAGGTGAATGAAACCCTGACCGCCTCCCGCCCCCCCCCCCAAAGAGGGGGGGGGGATGTAAAAAAAAAGCCAGCTGAGGGGGCAAGTCTTATAAGAGGCTGGTGGTGGGTGGCTTCCTGTCCCTAGTCAGAGCACATGAGGTACCTGACTGACTGAGAGCAACACTGGGAATCAAGCAGTTGAACACTGACAGAGCCCCAGGGTAGTTTGCAGGGAGAATAGATGGAGTCCTAGGACTGCCCTTTTCTGAGGAAAACAAAAATAAAGGCACGTGACCATCAGAGATGATCATAGCCCAGCCTTGAACTTTTTCACTGAAGTCCAGTGTCAAGATGGAGTCACTTCTGCCCTTACACACTCACAAAAGAACTGGGGGCAGATGGGCTCAGGGTGCGGGAACAGGGTTCTGGGATCCAGGAGCTCCGGGCAGAGGACAAGGGGCTTGTAGAAACAGAGGGAACAGCTGATTTGAGGACACAGAGCTCCGGGCAAACACAGGGAACAAGGGATGTTCTAGTTCCCTTTTTGTTGCTGTGATAAAACACTGACCACAGGCAAGTTAGGGGAGGAAAGAGTTTCTTTCAGCTTATAGGTTACAGTCATCACTGAGGGAAGTTAGGGCAGGAACTCAAGCAGAAACTTGAAGTAGAAACGATGGAGGAACCCTGGTTAGAGGCTCCCACTCCTACAGGCTTATGCTTAGCTGGCTTTCTCTGTAGCCCAGGACCACGTGCACTGAGAATGGTGCTGTCCCACGGTGGTGTGGGCTCTCCTACATAGATTAATCATCCAGACATCTCCCCGCAAACATACCCACAGGAGAATCTGATCCAGGAAGTTCCTCAATCGACTTAATGCTTTGTAAAAGTGACAAAGCTAATTAGGACAAGGGGCACACAGGAACAGATGGAGTAGCTGGGTTCTGGAATACTGCATCTGGAGTCCTAGAGCTCCAGGCAGACTTGGAACAAGAGGCCAGAAGGTCGGAGGGAGGGGTGAGTATGGAGGATACTGGTCCTATAGACTCTCAGAAACCCTCCTAGAACCTGCAAAGGAAATTTCATAAGTGACTGAGAAACATGGTTGCATGGTGCTTATTAATGATGGAGTCCACAGATACCAAAAGCTGCAGCGACTGACCAACTAGGATTAAGTGGGACTCACTTCTAAAGCTGTTTAAGAACACAACAATAGCTGGGCATTGGTGGCACATGCCTTAAATCCCAGCACCTGGGAGGCAGAGGCAGGCGGATCTCTGTGAGTTCGAGACCAGCCTGGTCTACAAGAGCTAGTTCCAGGATAGGCTCCAAAGCCACAGAGAAACCCTGTCTCAAAAAACAAAAACAAAACAAAACAAAGAACACAACAATAAGCTAGGCATAGTGGAACAAACATTTAATTCCAGCATTGAGGAGGCAGAATAGGTGGATCTCTGCAAGTTTGAGACCACCCTGATCTACACAGTGAATTCCAGGACAGCCAGAGCTACATAGTGAGACCCTATCTCAAAAGATAGATAGATAGATAGATAGATAGATAGATAGATAGATAGATAGATTGATAGAGCAATAAAAAGTCCCAAGTCAGAGGGAGACTACAAACATCCTTGCAGGCATGTTAGAACAGGAGAGGCCTCCTGCTGTGAGGTTTCCCCTCTAACAGAACCTGAGAAATTAAGGGTAGGTGAGCATCTCCGAGGAGCATGGACCACAAATAGGCCATTCAACAGGCAGAACACAGATGCAGAGGGGCATGGGATACCCATCAAAACACGGGCATTTCTGGAGTAGATTTCCAACAGAAGATGGCTTTACCATTTTAATACACACAGCTCCCGCCCTGTGGAATCTGCCTGCAGCAGCATTGTAGTATGGATAGCAGCTGGGGTAACTCATTCTCATGGTGAAAGTGAACGGACGGGAAAAAGGAAAAGCCGTGGACCAAAATGTCCCGTGGGTAGCATCACAGAGGTGCCCTCAGTTTC